CCAAAGTGAATTATTTCTCGAATTTTATTCTGGTATTAGAGTTTTATGAATGGAACAAAAGCATTTATCGTGTAAATAAATCAAATATTCAAATTAAAAGAAACGAAAACGGGGTCGGTTAAAAAATTCAGATCTAAATATTTGAATTCAGCAATATGAAATAAACCCTTATATAATAGCACAGAGGAAACGTTAGATTTAGATTTGTTTAGTCAAAAAACAATACAAAGTGTATGTGACGTTGCGGGGAGAAGATTATCTGCGCATGTTTTTTTGAGTTCCAAAATCGCTGCTCGTTATTTTAAAGTTAAATAGTTGAATGATGAATAAAAGTTCAACATAAGTAAATAACAATAAATTTTAAATTTCGCAAGATTAGCAATATTTGAAAAATAGTCATTTTTGTTCCCGAGTTACAGAAATCTTTTTTGCATCAGTACGTGAATTGCAAATATGATTTTTCGGCATTGCTAACAAAATAGCAAATCGCATTTTTAACGATCTCTTTTGTCTAAAGAAATAGAATATTTCTAGTTCTTCAAAGTTATTTTAATGGAAGACTATATGTAATTTGACTACGCTTACAAGTGAAATCTAAAATCATAGCTCAAACTTTTCATGTATTCTTGAAGGTTTCTCAATTTTTTTAGTTTCTCAGTTTTTTAATAGAGTATAACTTTCACAATGCGGGACCTCATTGGAACAGTATTTTTCTTATCAGACAGATGGCGCATTATACAGAGTAATACTGTAGAATTTATGTTAGGCAGGGCCGCGATATACGTTGACATTACACGGATATTCGCATTTTAGAAGTTCTGCATTGAGTATTTTTTATTGAAGTAGAACCGAAAAAATACTTAAAGAACATGATAAAAGAGTACAACCACGTCATAAATTAATTTTTTTGTAGAAAATTCAGAGTGAGAAATATGATATTTAAGAAATATTTCAAAATAATTATACTTGAGTTTTTTGAAGGAAAAACAACAACAAAAGAATGTAGCAACCTCAATTGTATGTCATCTTAAACAGTGCAATTCGCACTAACCGTACGCGAAGTTTGAAGGAAAAATTTGGAGCTGTTTTTGAGAAAATAGTGTTTGAGTGTTTCTGAAAATGCGAAAAGTTTAGCACATTATAAGAGAAAACTGTTCAGTTTTTGAGAAACTTTATTAGACATCATTTAAAGCACATGTACTCATAAACGTAATAAGGTGAACAAAACTGCGCTAATTTAAATATTAACTACATGAGATAGAAGCAAACTATTGGGTGTTCAGAATGGCACAGACTTTCCCGTATTAGTTTTCTATTTCCTTCCGTCTAGTTTAGTTATTCAAACTTCCCACATATTGTTACCTGCTGCTGCTGCTATCTATCGCCTCCCAAAGTACATTCTTTTGACATTTTCTTAATTTTTCGGTTTTCTAATTGTAGCCCGGAAATATTATTTTACGATTATTAAAGAATAGTAAAACTTTTTTTTTAAATTGGCGTTCAGGCACTACTGTAAAAACGAAACTCAAAGCCCTTTTTCAAAAAATATTTTTAAGATTTCGAAAAATTTATTTTGAAGTAATTTTAAGTACTGTACGGAGTAAGAGATCTTTAAAAATAATTACATTTGTGTAATCTTTTAAAAAACAAAAACAAAAAATACCCCGAAGAGACCTTACGTCATATCAAAAAGTGTAATTACTATCCTTCTAAATGTTTCAAGAAACAATTTGGAGCCTGTTTCAGATAATGGCGTTTGAGCGTTTCTGAAAATAGTTTTGAGCTAGTTTTCACAGAAAATGTAAGAGTTTTCGAGAAACTGTATATGACTTTTTTTGAAGCACATATACTCATAAATACAATTATATGAAGCAATTTCCGCTTATATAGGCAAGCCAAAAAATGTCATTCTTGTAATTTTTGAAAAAACAAAAGAATAGAGAAATACGGGGTTTATGTCACCTTACAGAGTTTACCAGAACGTACATTTACTAGTATCCCTAACAAAAATTTAAAGAAAAAAATTGGAGCCATTTTCTAAAATGTATTGTTTTTGTTATTTTTTAATTGCACGCACTACTGAATAAAAACTTCTAAAATTTTCAAAACAAAGAACATGACCTTAATGTAAGAACTCACTACGGAGAACAAATTTTTTGTAAAGAAAAAATTCATTCTTCAATTTTGTAGTAATAGTATGATACCGAAAAATAATCATACTTTTGGAATTTTCGAAAATTCAGTGTTAACCGTGAAAATCAGACATACACCACGTTTATAAGTGTATATTACTCTATTACAAAAAAATTAATGAAACAAATTTGGAGCCGTTTTTGAGGAAAAAAGTAAAAGTGTCCGGGTGGCTTCATGTAAAGTACCCCAAAATGATGAAGTTTTTTTTCAAAATCTCTCAAATTCGGTTCACACGAGATTGACAGGGGTATCTTCAATTTGGAAAAAATCCTACGCATGGTTTAGACGCTAG